CAGTCCAGAGCAGACCCAGAGCCTAACTACAGTTTATTTGGGGGATGTATTAACTTATTAACAGCCACCCCACCCTCCTCCCTTTCCCACACTCTCAAATCGAACCTAATATATTACAAACAAAACTTTTCGCAATGTATTAACTTAACAAACCCTAGTTCCACCAACAAAGGGGCACAGAATGCTCTCACTATCTGAGTTCTACAGCTGAGAACTTTCCAGTGTGCTATAACTACCTACTTAGTGTGTTCACCAATGCCTTTGAAAAGTGCCTTGATCTATGACTTTCTTTGTTCTGATATTAGAAAAATTGCATGAAATTGCTACCTCATTGGAACATACAATTCAGGGTAACATGATTTTTTTTGTTTCCAGGCCATGGATATTTGTCTCTATAATAAACTATCTCTTATATCCTTTGAAGTGACAGCTATGTTTTTGTGCTAAAAGTCAGTGTACAATGTTATTTCCCCTCTGAAGTACAAAGCTCCAAAAGTCAGGCTTCAGCCCTGTTACTCCCATGTTCACTCTCTTATACTGTTAGAGGCTGATCTGAGTCTGCAGGGCAGTAATTTGAGTTTCCAGATTCTTGTTCCTCTACAAAGACTTGTACAGTCTTTGATAGCTGCAGGAAAGAAAACAGTTTGCTAAAGGAGAGATAAGAGAATTGTAGAGGTGTGATAAACCTCAACTGAGGTCCATTTCTAAGAGGGCAAAAGAGAAGGGGCAAGGACTACATGACCTTTAATGGTCATTGATGTCAAGCTGTTTCCTCTGAGATTAAAAACTCCCATCATATATGAAAGCTTATTAAGACACAAGACACTTGTAGGGAGAAAGAAAGGCAGGATGTTCTGAGAGAAGATTTCAGCCCGCAGAGAAGCTCCTCAAAACAGGAAGAAAACTTCTCAAAATTGCTGGGCCGGAATGTCCAGAATACCAAGCTTGGTAGAGGGTGTTGGGATTGAAACACTTAACAGACCAACAGGAGAAGTGAAGAAGCTGCTGCCATTTAATACAGAGAGTAATGGGCTTATATAACAAAGGCAGGGGATGGGCTAAGCATAGGAGGTGGTCATGCACCACTCACACCTGGGATCAAGGTATGGACACTGTGTTCCAGGAAATTCTGTAAACAACGTTGTTTGTTCAACCCTGTTTGCACTGAAGTTCTTCAGCTGGGTGGGGAGGAAGAGAGCTGTAAGGGACAAGTGCTTAAATTTCCCAACACAAAATAGCTTCAGGAAGTCCCTAAAACTGACCAGATTAAGCAGGCTCCTCCTTTTCCAAACACATATAATTAGGAAGTCCAGCTAGGAGACACTCTCAGACAAGCTGAACTGCCTAAAAGAGGCAGAAAGCAACCAAGTGTCCTTGAAGAGTCTCAGACCACCTGGACAGTCTAGAACACCTGACCACTGAGTCTTACTGTTAACTTTTTTTTCTCTCCTTCACTTCTACAAACTGTCCCACCAATCCCCACCATTCCACAGACTGCAAAATTTCATGTCAGTCATAAAATATATCATAGTTAGACATTACTTAGGTAACTGTGAAAATAAATAAATTGGCATCAGTATAGAACAATGGATTTAAATTTCAGATAGGTTTTGAAAGGCTATTGGCCCTAAGCTTTTCTTAAAATCCTTTGATCCACTCCACTGATTTCTGTCTCTACATCACCCATTACTCACTACAGACACTTTAACTTAAAAAGCCTCAAATGATGTTTTCTTTTTTCTCGATGATTATTAAAGAATAATTGACTCTTTAGTGTATGTAATGATTAGTTGTTTTTATTTGGTTGGTTGGTTTATTTCAAATTTACACAAGCTTGGGACATCTGGAAGAGGGAGGTCTAATTAAGAAAGGCCGCCATCAGATTGACCTTTCTTTTTTTTACTGAAAATGATTTTTTAAATTTCTTTTTAAATTGAAAACAGATTTTCTCTCTCTCTCTCTCTCTCTCTCTCTCTCTCTCTCTCTCTCTCTCTCTCTCTCTCTCTTTCTCAAGACAGGGTTTCTGGGTAGTTTTGGAACCTTTCCCTGAAACTCACTCTGTAGATCAGATGATCCTCCAACTTACAATTATGAACTCTCCACAGCTGTGGTTGCCTGCATAAAATTAAGCAAATCAATTATCAATAATGAAAGTGGAAGGGGCTCATAGGCCCCCACTCTGACATGGCTGATACTGACAACTGATAGTTTCTTGGGGTAGGGAGAGTGAGTTTTCTTTAGGAGGTAGCCATGTCTTTCATGTTGAATATGCTGTAGAGGATGCCCCACACTCATGAGTATGTAGGCAGTACAAATTGGACTGAGAGGGTTATCTGAGTGGTTAGGGGAAAGAACAAGAAACTAGAAAGGATGGGGTGGGGAGAGAGTGTGGACCTAGGAGGAGCTAAAGAGAGGAGAAGGGGTAAATAGAATCAAAATACATTGTATGATTCTCAAATTTTCATTTTAATGTTAAGGTTTTAAAAAAATCAACCTTTGAAGTTACAAATCATGCTCAGTCATTGGAAATACTCATTTCCCTGCCAGAGGACTACAGTGTACTTTCCAGCTCTCATACTAGGTAGTTAGTAATTGTCTATAATGCCAGTTTCAGGGAATCTGATACACTATCATGACTTTCTAGGACACTTGTATGCATCTGGAATTCAGTCAAACATACACACACACACACACACACACACACACACACACACAGCAGTTTGCACTTGTGATCTCAGGATGCCAATGTACAGAGAAGATAGGCACAAATTCAAGGCCAGCCTGGGCTACATACTAAGTGCCAGGCCAGCTTAGACTTCAGAATCAGACCCTGTATCTTAACCCAGAGTCCCTTAACTCATTATCCCCACAAAAAAAAAAAAAAAAAAAAAAAAACCAAAAAACAGAAGCGCTGTCACAGATATTCCTGCAAATTTTAAGTACAAATGTATGCAGCAAAAGTATCTGATTTTACTCAGGCAATGAAAATACTCTCCTCAGGGTTTCAGTTAACATCTATAAGGTCGTTATACATGCAACTCACAATGCACCTACTTATAGCAACATATAGTATTGTTTAGGGAGCTGGGTTATATTTCTAAACAGAATCAGCAGCCTTTTTGTTTGATGATTCATTATTCCCGGTACTTCACTGTTGAACTGTTGGTGACTTACTCAAACAAGTGTGGATTTTTCACATATGTTTCCTGTAGATAAAGATTTATATCACCACAAGAGAATTTCAGAACATCTGGTAGTTTTGAAAATGATCCTTTCTTGATTTATTTAAGTATAACAAATGGATTTACATGACTACAATTCTGTATGTTATAGTAATAGACTTTAAGACTAATGAATCTTAGAATGTGCTAAATATCCATCTTTCCCAACTTCACTGGAATGATTCTCTAATCTACTTTTTCCTTTCAGCTATTCTTCTAATTCATTGCCTAATTGCCTAAGATATAAAAGACATTTTGCTTAAATGAAGCAGCACCAGTAAAACAAATGAGGCTAAGCCTTGCCTGTGATATCCATCCCAGTACTTAACCATTTATCCAAAAAAGATTATCTCTAAAGATCCTCTTGTGCATCCCTGTTCAGTCTGCCAATGGCATATTCCAGAAGCATATTATTAAATTTGCATTTGAATGAAAACATGTTTCTGCCTGTAAAAGTTTACTAAGTTTAAAATCAAGTGGCAAATAACTTTTCTAAAATATTAAATATCACCTCAACTCCATTCCCTAAATTCCTCTATGAATAATATTATAAAAACTATTTTGCATGGCTCAATAAAGTAAGTACATCTGCTTTCCAAGGAGCAGAAAAGATACTACAAGCATCCAGGGTAATGATGGTGAAACTGCTCCATAGTTCATTGGAGACTTGTACCATGGCCATCACTGGAAGAAGACAGCATAGGACCATACACCCCAACTCTGTTTCTTTCAGATTAGTGAAAGGACTAGTTGTAAGGATATGTACAAAGGGAAGAAACTAGGATCCTGGTGAAAGATGGAATGAATAACATTTACAGTAACTAAGTTGAACCTTGGAGATTGCTGCAGCTCAAGTGCCCCAGTAGGGTAGCCAAAGAGCAGAGCTCTACATTCCATCTCAGGAATGATATTTTGTAGATACACCAAATACACAGTGTAGATCATATGCAATGGTATGGCCTTGGAGGAGTGAATAGAAAAGCCTGAAATGCCCAGCCAGTCAGACTATAGTTATCTCTGGCTAAGACTCAAAGCAACTTGTTAGAATGGTAGTATGCTCAGGTAAGTCATCTGGGATTCCAGTCAAAGCAGTCCTAAGTCTACAGCAAAGCATGGCTGATCATTCTTCATATTACTAAAATGTTACACAAAATGCACAGATCTACTCTATGAAAATGCCTTCCTGCTGTGGCCAGAAGCAAGACAATGCCCCACTATCTCCTCTATGGATTATGATGTCATCAGGAAAGAATGTAAGAGCTAACATTCTGTTTCTTCCCTATCCCCTCTTCCCAATCCCCTCTCCTCTCCCCAATTTCCCCTCTTCCCTCCCTTTTCCTCCCTCCCCACCCCTCTCTAGTACCCTCTGTTATTCAAGGTAGAAACAGAGGTTCAAGACCTAGAGAAAGAATAAAGCAAACTCCATCTTCCTTGCCCCTTTCCTCTCTCCTGAAGCCGAGTGTACAGATCTGGGATGATGAAGCTGTAGAATCAGCCCTAAGCAAGCAAGGTAGGGAATTCAGTCCAGAATTCACAGCAAAAGACAGGCTGATGGAGAACAGGCAACTAAGTTATTAAGATTGTCACAACTTGTAAGTCAAGACACATCTAGAGTCAGAGGGTAATTGCCTATTTAAATTTAGAAGTGCTTCCTTGTTTAAGTAAATGTTCGTTTCATAAATATTTTCTAATGATATGAAAAATTGGTCCTCTTCTGAATGGTGCTTCCCCGTTTTTCTTTAGTGGGACAGGTCCTGAGACACTTCTGAAGGATTTGAGGCAATGGCCGCTCAGGGAGAGCCTCCGGTCCAATTCAAGCTTGTCCTCGTGGGTGATGGTGGTACTGGGAAGACTACGTTTGTAAAACGCCACTTGACTGGTGAGTTTGAAAAGAAGTATGTGGCCACCCTGGGTGTGGAGGTACACCCCCTGATGTTCCACACGAGCAGAGGGCCTATCAAGTTCAATGTCTGGGACACTGCTGGTCAGGAGAAGTTTGGGGGCCTGCGAGATGGCTATTACATCCAAGCCCAGAGTGCCATTATAATGTTTGATGTAACTTCAAGAGTAACTTACAAGAATGTGCCCAACTGGCATAGAGATCTGGTACGGGTATGTGAAAACATCCCCATTGTACTTTGTGGCAACAAAGTGGATGTTAAGGACAGGAAAGTGAAGGCGAAGTCTATTGTCTTCCACCGCAAGAAAAACCTTCAGTATTATGACATTTCAGCTAAAAGCAACTACAACTTTGAGAAGCCCTTCCTCTGGCTCTCCAGAAGACTTACTGGAGACCCTAACTTGGAGTTTGTTGCCATGCCGGCTCTAGCCCCACCTGAGGTGGTCATTGACCCAGCGTTGGTAGTACAATATGAGCGTGACTTGGAGGTGGCACAGACCACTGCCCTACCGGATGAGGAGGATGACCTGTAAGAAAGTGAAGCTCTGAAGACATCAGTACCTAGATGTGCAGGCAACTGATCTGTGATGTCAGCAGTGTGGCCCATGTGTCGCCTTGGTTATGCAGACTCAAGCTCCGTGTCTGAGATACTGAGGGAAAAGGCTTTGGAGTGAATGTGGCAGTTACAAAACACACCTTCCATTTGGAACTTGCAGATTCAGCTGTCTGGGGGCACAGTTGTTTCTTTCCTGAGATTGAAAACTGAGAATTCTGTGTCACATCCTGGATTCTGTGGCAAAATCTTGTTACTGTAATTTCATTCCTTTCATTTAGAATAAAGTTGCAATTCAAACAACAAAAATAATTTCAGAATATAAATGTAATGTAAAAGAAAAATCTTCCAGAAAAAAAAAGATGCTTTTATTTAGCAAAAGACTTGATAAGAAGCATGGGTTTTAATTCTTTCGTGTGAAAATAATTTAATTTTCAGTGACCATATAAATATTATGGACCAGCAGTTATTAATTTGTGTTATTTAATGATTCTATATTAGCTGTGTGGCCTGGTGCAGGTTAGCATACATTTTTGAAAGTCTAATGCAATTTATAAAGCTATATGAAACACCACATGACCTGCCAGATCAGATAAGTCAGAAGTTTCTTATTTGATTGTTCCCTGGGGCTCTCTTAAACATTGAGGAACAATGTATATAAAATACTAAGCACTGTAAATACACACACACACACACACACACACACACACACACATATATATATATAAAGTTGAGTCAAAAGATTTATTCAATAATGTGTAAATCTATTTACAATGTAACCATGAAAATAAGTTCATCATGTGGCTCAGGACAAGGCCTCTTTGGCCTGTTCCTGTCTTTCTGTCTGGCATGGTCATCCTCACATGCTCTGCTTAGGCTTGTTACGATGTCTGGCTAACATCCTGACATGCAAACTGGCACATTTGGAGTGAAAAGTAAAGAGGAACTGCCACTTGGCAAATATCACAGTAAAAATTGTTCAGGCCAAGAGCCTCAGGAATGTTAAAGAATGAACATAAAAGAAGAAAAACATAGTTATACAGTCTAAAACATTAATTATACCAGGCATGAAAACAATGAAATAATTATTTACAATGAAAAAAAAAAACCCTAATCAGTAAGAGCTAATGTCATCAGGGTTGGGAGGAATGGAAAACATAACACTTCCGTGGGATTCCTTTCCAGATTGATTACCTTGAAGTCAGTCAAATCCAAACTGACAGTCACTCTACAGAATGTCAAGAAGGTACTCTCCAAACGCATCAATGTCATCAAAGAGAAGCAAAGGAAAGCAAGTTTCAGATTGTATGAGGCTATGTATCAGTACAGCCCCAGGATGTCTGGCATGAAGTGAGGCTTGATTTTAATGTAGAACTGAAAATTTTTAAATATGTATCAATGTGAATTCCATCATTTTAATAACTAGGCTGTGGTTTTATAAAAATATGTTTTAGGAACTATTCACTAATATTTTTGTAGCATGTACAGACAGCAATTCCTCCAAAACCAGTGGAGTGAATTATATTAGAAAGATAGATACAAAAATACCACCCACTAACCACTAACCACTAAGGCTCACTCTTATATACATAATTATTCCATTCATTCCATACTGTATTAAATAACTATTAGGGACTACTCTAACCACTGGTGCATTTTCATGAAAAAGATATGGGGGTCCTTTGTGGTAATGTTGAAAAATTCAAGAAATTATGTCCAGATCAATGGAGTGTGCCAGGAAGAATAAGCTACATGAGGAATAGAGAATTTTAAAAAGAAAATACAAGCAGCAACAAAAATCCCTCCTCTAGTCCTATGAGTAGAAGAGAATAAGGAATATCCTTATGAAAAGCTAGAATGGTGTATCCACGTCCCTAGAACAACCAAAGAAGGTCAAAGGTCTTCCTGTAGAATGGTGGAGTGTGTGGTGATATTACGAGGAAATTTGAAGAGGCCACATGGGAAGCTAATTAACCTGAGGCTACATGGGAGGAGAGTTCTCAGCAGGCCCTCTATGCTGACCAAAATTACCTTTAGTCCTTCTTCCACCAAAGTTTATAACCTAAGAAGTCATCTTGAATATCCCAACCAACCAGACCTTTCAGAAGAAAGGTTAGGCCAGTTAACCTTAGGAATCAAAAGAGGTCATAAAAATAAAAAATAAAAAAATGACTGCTTTAAGGAGCTAAGTTTTAGCTTGCAATTTTTATGAAGCAACACATTACAAGGAAAGGCTCACTCTTATATACATAATTATTCCATTCATTCCATACTGTATTAAATAACTATTAGGGACTACTCTAAGCTCAGCAAAACTGAAAAAAAAACTTACACATCTATAAAAAATAACAAGAATAAGTTCCATGAAAGTCTGGGCAGTGAGTACTGAATTGAAACCAAGGGATCACAGGAAGTCACTGAAAGTGGGAGAAACAAGATATGTGGAAGCTCATTGCAGCCGCATACAACATAGTGAGAGACTAATAGGAAGAGCATAGCATGAGCTATAAAGAGGACTGTATGTCAGCTACTAAGAGAACATTATTGTTGCTGACTTTACATGTGAGCGGGTGGAGCCAGAGCCAACACTGGAGCCAGCACTTGTCAAAGTATACCTAGGAAGTCTTTTGTTTGTCCTCTAATTGTACTGCCTACAACACTGACTGATAGATGACAGGCATTCACACACACACACACACACACACACACACACACACACACACACACACACACACACTTGTCCTAAATATTTCCGGAAAGTGAGAAAAGGAAAAGGAAAGAGGATAGGAAGAAGAAAGGGGATGTTGCCCTTATGCTAGCATTCCCCATTTACACACACCTGCACACACACAGTGACTCTCAAACGCTCAACATATTAAACTACCTAGACATTTATAAAATATTTATATTCAAGCTCCTTTCTCATATATTTGAGTGGACTTAGCACGAAAAAATGTCAACAAACAGCCAACATTGAAGACAGATATTCCCGCCATTCTTCACTCCTGTGTAGTAACACGAGGAAGGAGTTTCCTGACTAATTCTCTGCACAGACTTTTCAATATTAAAAGTAAAAATTAATGTAAATGCTAATTCAGCTGGACAATATTTAAAAGAGAACAGGATGCTCAAGTCGGTGTCTAAACATCATTTAATATTGCTGAAAACAGAAAATCCAATTTGAAAACTCAGACTCCATCCCTATGTGCTAACAAAGTATCCAAGGGATTATGCTGCTGTTCTTTGCTCAATGGACTATCCATGATAAGCATTCTCACGTGATACAGTCTGTTTAAATGATTGTTGTATCATATGTTTTTCAATGGAAATGTATATTAGTTATAGTTCTAGGCACTGGCCCAGCACCAAAATGGTATCCCAATTAGTGACCTTATTTTTTCTGATGAATTAAGAAGAATGTTATGGAATCCATAGCTTAGAGATACCTATAGAAAACAGCCAGAGTGTAATATAGCATTTTTGATAATTTATGAGGCTTTAGTCACCCATGCTGAGTAAACTCTCATTTTCTCCACACGGTTGCTGGTTTGAAGTGTTCAACTTCAAATTCCATTGATCTCATAGCAGAAATTTCACTTAAATATGAAGATATTTCGTTACTTTTGTCCCTTTCTTCTTTATGAAATTCATCAAAATTAAAACTATGTAGCATAATCTGAGATAAGTACTCCCCTCTCCATTGAAATCTTGTGTTCTAATAAAGAGGGTCCTCAGAGGAGGCAAGAAGGATCTGTTACTTTGGTCTGTAAGATCTATCTTCATTCCTTCATTTAATCTAGAAATACCAGAGTCATCTCAACTGTGCTATATCTATTTAACTGCTACCATATGAATCTTATCCATGCACATTTGACCATAGATAGGGCAGTACATAACTGTACTACTGAGGAGATGCAGGCATGTGTTCTTCCTTTTGCTCATGTTTCTGGGTATAGTCACTGCATGACATCATTTGCCTGTAGCACCTGACTCAGCATGCTTCATGACTTTCATATTAACCTCCCAATAGAACCCCTTTCTGTTCAGTGAAGTTGGATAGGTGTTGGCATTTACTATTTGCTAATATTCATACCAATCTGTAAGATAGATATTTATGGCGTTCAATCAATTGACAAGCACACAAGAGAATCATATCTACTTCTCCAGATTCAGTAATGAGCTGAAATTCATTGAATCCAGAACTCCCAACCATGCATTCAGTGTTATTTAATTGAATCTAAACTAGGTGGAGTCTGATTTTACATAGTTTTGGTGTTTTCTCTAATTTTCATCATCAAGCATTAAAAGTTTGATTTTAAGGTCCCTTATTACTTGAAATCAGACAATAAACAGCAACTCTCCTTCCTAAATACTTTGTTTTGAGAATATAAAACATGACAATTTAATCTAAAAGAGAGTGTTTCACTTCCTTTCCGTTCAACTCTTGTTTTAAAGCTCTCTCTCTCTCTCTCTCTTTGTGTGTGTGTGTGTGTGTGTGTGTGTGTGTGTGTGTGTGTGTGTGTGTGTGTGTATTAGTTTATCATATCAGGTATTTTGGTGGGCTTTGGAAGTTCCTTAAACATATAAACTCAAAAGTGATTCAGACCAATTCATGCTTCATTCACCGAGGAAGACTCAGTATACTTAATCATCTTCCTTAATGCCTTGATGTATCAGTTTCTTCACTGAAAATGTAGGCCAAGTTAGGAACTGTGAAAAACAGTTGGATTCAATATTGCATATAACAAATTTGTACAATGCAAAATAGTAGTGATGCTATGCTAAATTACAGTATATCCTAACCACAGCACAGTTGTTTCTCTGCTAATGACGATCTGAGTGAATTTGTTCTCATCAAATTAACATAATATGTTACTCCATTGCCTTTGACACAGAGACTCCCACAGTATGTTATCACCTTCAATCTCTTTCTAATCCTTTCAATCTCCTCTCTCCCCTCTCTTCTCAGATCTGCCCTATCTCTGAAGCCCATCTTTTTACTAGTTTGTCTAGATCAAGAATCATATCTGCACTACCTTTGTCCACTGCAAACATAACT